GTTAATAATATTTTCAATAAAAAGATGGTATTACCTTTACTATCAGCATCATGTCAGTCAAATTATAATTTTCACTATAGTGCAGATTGAAATATGAGTGTTAGTCATTTTTGCCTAGTGGAATTTATAATCCCACTATAGTGGAGATTAAAATTTTATTCTCCACTAGTTGAACTTAAAATTTCAATTTTCACTAGTGGAATTTTAAATTCCACTGAATTTTAATTTCCGCTGTAATATATACATATATACACGTGTTTGTATTGTAGTGATTATTTCTATTCTTACTCTTATTGTAGTTATGTTATAGCCATTCGGCATGATTAAGTTGTTTTCAATTTAGGTTCACGGACAGCGAGCGCTAGCTGGAAACTAACGTTATTCATTAGATTGTAAAGAACATCTGCAAGAGATTGATCGTATTCAAGTAACAATCTTTTTCAAATATTTTATTTTAATAAAATAAATAATTTAAAATAAATAAAAGGAATAATAGTACTCGGCTGTACTCCAATTAACGTTGATTGAATGACGTTCGAAAATAGCCGCATGAAAGACTGAAATAGCACAAAAACATTTATTAAAGCAGTCTTAGATTTGCAAGAAAAAATATTTTTGTGATATTTTATGCGGCCATCCTCAAACGTCATATAATCAATGTCAACTGAAGTACGATCGAGTGTGATTATTTCTTTTGTTATTATCCTTCAAATGACTTTCATAGAATGTCTAAACAGAACGTAAAAAGCTTTTTCTGTTTAAAATCGCATGTTCTTTTTCAAAACTGACTCATATTTGCCTCAAATGACTCATATTTTAAAAAGTGTCGTTAATTCTATTATTCGACAATAACCCAGCTCTGTATTTATACAGAATATAAGGAAAAACCGATGGTCAAAAGATTCTGAATCAACAACGTGAAAACGTAGTCTTGCGAACACTGTGGTTCTTCAAGTGACGTTTCTGGGAGACGGGTTAGAACGGCTGTAAACAGAATATATCCATATAATTTTTTTCTTTAATAGGAATAGTTTTGAGTACGAATGGTAGAGCTTTAACAGCAGCGAATAAACTCATTCCAATTTTATTTCGAGCTTTCGAAACCTACGGTTGCATTATCAAGAAATCTAAAACATTGAATCAAAACAATAGCACGTATTCCAGATCTAAATTCTACAATTAGATCTGTTCCTCTGGTTATTTTTTCGGAAGGTAGTGTCTCTCTTAATCGAAAGAACAGACAAAAGTCAAAAGAAAATGACGACATTACGATAGTCAAAATTTATCTTTTCTTTAGACACATTAGTGTACAGTTACACGTATCTATTATACTAAATATGATTCACTCTTCTGTTTTTCCTATACTTCAATTTCATTTTAATCTGTTAGTCTTATTGATTTTGATTCAATGTTTTAGATTTCTTGATAATGAAACCATAGGTTTCGAAGCTCGAAATAAAATTCGAATGAGTTTATTCGCTGCTGTTAAGGCTCTAGAATATATCCAATGAAAAAGTATTAATAATGTCTGTTACTAGCTCCAAAATTGGTGATAGATTTAGCCCTAAAGACAAAATTCCTAATCATTCAATGTTTGGGCTTGTATAACAGGCCAGAGATGCAACCGGTACCTGTATGAATTATAACGGCGACCGGTATACCGGTATTAGTATGAAGTATAATCAATCGGTCGACATTACTGGTATTTTGCGATATGATACGATTTGGCGAAAAATATCGTCTAAATTCAGTTCATCTATGACATATTTCTATAAACAAGGAAAAAGTGTTTGTATTTAGGCAAAAAATGATCAAGACAAGCCGGTACCGGTACGAAGTTTGTATATCGGTGGCCGGTACCGGTATCGCATTTTTGATACGGTTACACTTCTGTAACAGGCCGCTTGCTCAACCTGTGAAGAAAAATATGAACGTTGATCTATATCATTAACTCGTAAGCATTAACGTTGTGGACTCGAGTAGTCAAATTTTAGAAACCTCGGCCAAAAAATACTTAACATTTTTGACCATGAACACGTTGTAAAACGGGTAAGTTACTACTCTGTCGAATACAGACCGATCAGGAAGAAGGAAGTGGTTCAACAGCTATTTGCTCATAAATGTATTGGTCCACCTTCAAATTAATTCGTTGATTCACACTATCTGACTGTTTAAACCGACAATTTGGAATCAACGGGTTAATAGGATTAGTAACTACCATGGTTATTAATGTTGTCAAGTCTTTTTACAATATAACATCACTTTTTAAATGAGTCATTTTGAACTATGACTCAGTTTTGAAAAAGGACATCAGATTTTTAACAGAAAAAGGTGTTGCGTTCTGTTTAGACATTTTATAAAAGGAATAATTGCACTCGGTTGATCTTGATTTGATGAAGTTTGAGAATGGTGTATAAAATATCCCCAAAAAGATGATTACTTCAACTAAAGCAGCTGAAAGCATTACACTATTTTGTCAAAAATTAATGCCATTAACTCCTTAAAAAGTTTTAAACATGATTTTTCAACTTCAGTATCACACTGCTCTTATTGTATCCAGAACTCTATACTTATCTAATAAAAATAGGGTTTTAAATTTTTCTTTATTATAATTAGTCTTAACTTTTTTTCTGCTAAATAGCTCGTTTTTTATTGTTTTTGTTATTTCTCTCTTCCTTTCTCTCCTCTTTCTCTTCCGCATTCATTGTATTTACTATTCATTTTCTGCGTAGCTTGGTACTGTAACATAGTGGAGATACTCTCTCCATTTTGTTGTGTCAAATATGACACTATTTGAAATAAAAATAGCGTATAAAAATAGTATTGTAATCTTAGCAAAAAAACACGAAATAAAATAAAGTTTAGCGTATTACAAGAATTTCACTTGACCACAGTCAGCGTAGGAAGAAAACAAAAATATTCTTTCTTTTCTCTTTATTGTATGTTGAATAAAATTGTACTTGTGTTTATACTCCATCAAAGCTGAAATATTCACTTCTTTCTCCGTTGTTGTTGCTGACTACGCATAACAGAAACACTTAACAAGTAAGCGAATATGTCATGAAAAATAACTAAAACATGTCATGGCGAGCTGAATTAAGCAATATTTATTAACTCTCTATGTAGTAGTAATCGTAATAGTATGTAGTAGCAATGTAGTAGTAAAAAATCTAACGGGTGATAGACGAATTTTTCCAGTGATCGGTTAGGTGCCTTCACAGATATTTTTTCGTTTGTATGCCTTCTAATTAGTACGCTACCTGTTCAATTCACTCAATCTTTATTGCATCTTTTTTTATTTATGCAATAAATTATTGGTTGAGGCTCTAATCCCTTCTATGTATAAACTTTTACGTTAAATGTCAGTGCTTCGACGGCACTGCACTAGAGAGGCTACGGTACAGTCCGATTGTTATCTCCGAAGGATACTCTAGTCCGGCGACTTAGTTTAGTCGTTGGTGCATGGGATTGTTCGTGCTCTGCATGTCTCTGTCAAAGTTGGCTTGAACCGACATATCATATCTCGCACAATAGTTATCGTTGCAATAGCTAACGTGCACTGTAACCAAGGGGGAAAAAGCGGACTCCTATGAACTCCTATGGACTCCTGGACTCCCATGGACTCTTGAAGTCTAGGAGTCCAAGAGCAAAGTGTTCTTTTTTGGGAATCACTTCCCAAAAATTGGACACTTTTGTTCTTTTTGGGGAATCACTCCCCAAAAATTGGACACTTTGCTCTTGGACTCCTAGACTTCAGGAGTCCATGGGAGTCCAGGCGTCCATAGGAGTCCATGGGAGTCCAGGAGTCCGCTTTTTCCCCCTTGACTGTAACGCTCAAACTGTGAACATATCTCTTGGAAATGGTAGAAATTTCAAAGTAGGTTCAAATAGCAGAAACTATTTTGCTTACTTCGTAGGAACAGCAAAGAAAGAAGTAAGGAATAAGAGTTATGGAACGAAAGTATCCAAAAACAATGCCTCAATCAACTATCAAAACGCCCTTCGAACCCCCTGTACCACGTTTTGAACTACCAGAACGAAATGAGCGAAATCTCGAAGCTCATACGGTTGTTTGGCTCGATGCAAATGTGGACAAGACAGACGACAATGCGAAGACAAAAGTTAAGTTACGACGAACCATTAATTATTTAAAAACATTTGATAACCTCGATGTATGTTTAATGTATATGTCGAATATTAAAACAGAAAAAGTGTTCTTGATTGTGTCAGGTTCATTAGGGGAAAAGATCGTCCCTCTCATTCAACAAATGCCACAGGTTGAATCGATCTACGTGTTTTGTTCGAACAAGACCCATCACGAAAAATGGGCCGGAAATTATAAAAAAGTTACTGGAATCTATACCGAAATAGATGCCATCTGTAATCAATTAGGCAAGGATGTTGCTAGATCTTCGAACAACGAGTTGCCGATGAGTGTCATGCCGACAGATGCATCGAACAAGCAAGAAGCATCGTTCATGTATTTTCGACTTTTAATCGATATTCTACTACGAACGGACAATAGCCACAGCGGTGCTAAACGAGGAATGATCTCTGAATGTCGACAACAATACGCGGAGAATGATGTTGAATTAGCTAATATTGACGACTTTGAAAAGAACTATTCGTCGGACAAAGCCATTTGGTGGTACACCCGTGAGTGCTTCGTTTATCGCATGTTGAATAAGGCCTTGAGAATATCAGATATCGACATGTTGTTCAAACTTCGATTCTTCATTAAAGATCTTCATAATCAACTCGAACAACTTCATTTAAGAGACAAAGCTACAACTGACTCAATGATTGTTTATCGTGGGCAAGGAATGGTGACAGAAGACTTTCAGAAACTAAGAACTAATATTGGGGGTTTTCTGTCGATGAACATCTTTCTATCAACTGCAACTAGACGCGATGTTGCTCTTTCATTTGCTCAGCTATCGTTGCATCGTCCAGCTGTCGAATCAGTTCTGTTTGAAATGACAATTGACACCAGAAAATGTCCACGACCATTTCATAACGTTGAAAATATGAGTTATTTCCGAGCAGAGCAAGAAATTCTGTTCTCATTGGGTACAGTATTTCGAATTGTATCAGTTAAACAACTCGATTGTGGAATATGGAATGTGAAATTGATTCTGAATGGCGAAGAAGATGACCAACTCAGACGGCTCACAAATCATATGAAGAAGGAAATACAAGGACCAAACGATTTCTTCATAATAGGCAAGTTACTGCTAAAGATGGGCGAATATGACAGAGCGGAACAATTTCATTTGATAATGCTTGAAAACATTTCTGACAATGAGCCGGATGTTGGGTATATTTATAATCAACTGGGATTAATTTATCGAGAAAGAGGCAATAATCAGCAGGCGTTAGTTTATTACACCAAATCTCTTGATTTTCAATTAAAATATGTGCCCGAAAATTTATCCTCGTTAGCGATAACATATAGCAACATTGGTGGGGTTTATCAAGCAGAAGGTGATCAGGAACAGGCACTTCTTAACATGGAAAAAGCTTTGCAAATAAAATTGAAAACCCTACCTACACATGATCCATTACTGGCAATCGAATATAACAATATTGCCGTAGTGTATGATGATAAAAAAGAGTATGACAAGGCCCTTCAATACTATCACAAGTCTTTGAGCATAGCTAAAGCAGCTCTTCCTGCGAATCATCCATCACTGGCGATTACATATAGCAACATTGGATTAATTCACAAGTGCAAAGGTGATTATGGCCAAGCATTAAAATATTATGAAATGACACTAGAGATACAACTGAGTTCATTGCCATCACAACACTTATCTTTTAGAGTGACGTATGGAAACATTGGATCCATCTATTATGCTCAACGTAACTATTTAGAAGCATTGAAAAACTTTACTCAAGCCTATGANAATCATCCATCACTGGCGATTACATATAGCAACATTGGATTAATTCACAAGTGCAAAGGTGATTATGGCCAAGCATTAAAATATTATGAAATGACACTAGAGATACAACTGAGTTCATTGCCATCACAACACTTATCTTTTAGAGTGACGTATGGAAACATTGGATCCATCTATTATGCTCAACGTAACTATTTAGAAGCATTGAAAAACTTTACTCAAGCCTATGAAATTGCTAAGAAAGGGAACCACCCAGATTCGCAAAAATATCAAAAGAAGATAGAGGAAATCCGTATGAAGGAGCACAGAGACCAATAATATTCTCTCTCAACGCTGATTTGGCATGCAAACAATGAAGTTTGTTTTGTTAACCGAAGGACGAAACATTAATGATTTCACCGTTCGTTGTTCGAATGTTGTTGATTCTTTGATTTGAACAACGAATAACTCGTGCTGTTGACGAAGATAAAGAATAAGGATGAGGTGGCATATCAAAATTTGATGTTTTTTTCTAGAGAAAAGGACTTTAGGACTTTTACATATTCGGAATCACTGGACACAGTGCTTATCTTCATCATATGCTTCGCTTTCACGAGGTATTTTCATTTCCATGTTCGCTTTTATGTTTTCGCACGATTCTCTTTCTTTTGAGATGTTATGCAAGTCTTAGTCTGACACGGTTCTCTCCGACAGCAATCATCTGTCATTCGATAACGCGAACTATTCTTCTATTTTTGTCTTCTTTTTCTTGTTGTATTGTATTCTCGGATCCTTAAATCTGTTAACGTGATCTCTCTATGTATTTCTCCATTACGTCCATTTTATGCTATTTTTTTCCGTTCTGATTTTTCGATGCGCGGGATGCGCATCTTGTTGTTGAGGGGAGGTGTTATGACCTGCCGCCCCTGGCATCTCATAAGATTCTGCTCTTGTACCCTCCTTGCGCATCTGTTATTTCCTCCTCCCGTTTCCTAACTCTTTCTGTTCTTGCGCAACTCTTGCTCAATTTGTGTACTATATATAGTCCTTCTGCGTTCTGCAGTTGCCTTTCTAAGCTCATACAGAGAAATGAGTAGAGAATTCAGTGCTTGTTTCTTTACCACAGCATTGGCGCAGCCTACGTTGTCTAATGAAACTTTATTATTGGTCACTGACCTCGTTTATGATTGGGAGGTTAAAGTTAAATGATATCGAGAAGATGAATTAACTCCGAGCTAACTTTTCCACCTATCATCTTTCTTAACACTGACGAGGGAACATATGTAAGTGTCCCCTCGCTTTTTCAACGAAACCTAGTGGGTTATAGGTTATCGATGATGCTGATTCCGAATATGAATAGGAGAGCTGCCATTAGAACTCCGAAGACCCGGTTTTCTGGAAAACCAGTTATCCAAAGCTTTTCTTAATAAGCCATGCTTGTAGCCCGCACATTTCTGATTAAAATGAGACCTCTCCCAGCCCTACATGACCTTTCTTTGCAAAGTTATAGAATTTACACGAAGAGCCCTAAATTAATTTCTTCTTATTTCTGTAGCTTTGAGTTGACAATGAATATTTAGG